TTACTTAATAATATACTTAATATCAATGATTGTGCGTTATGAGAAGCCGTACTGACACAGGAAACGCATGGCCCCCTACTACGATTTCGATTTCGTCGCGATGGGTTCTCAATCCGGAAGTCGGTGCTTTCGAAAGGAAATACCCTCAAAGGATTCTGTCGGTCGACCATTTCCTGCAAACACGCGCCAACGGAAATTTTAACGTTTATGTAACGCATAATAAGCGACGGCTGCCGCTTGTCTCGGGATTACGAAGCCGTAGATGCACTTTCGTGGTAGAAAGTATCAGAAAGCAGTGAATGTCACAAACGATTACAAATGATTACAAATTACAGCTACTCGGTGATACAAAGTACACACAAGTAACGAATTGCGCAAATACATAACATTTAAGTGTATTGCCAAAAAAAATAATATCAATGAAAGGAATGCAACACAAGTTACGTCATTTTATAACCGCGGAATTAGGTCAAGATTGAATTGAGTTAAGATAAAAATATTTTGAGAGATTTTTCAATTAATCTTTCTTCATTTTCTCATCCCACTTCCATTCAACGCTCGCCACGTTGCGGGTAAAGGGATTAATTTTTGGCAATAGACCAGTTTCTTTAAATTCTTCACGTTCACTGCGAGCGCATTCCTTGGCGTACCTCCACGTTATTTACGGATATTACAATTATCTCGTAAAACTTTTTTACACTTTGACGTGTTACGGACGATCGACGTCGCAGCCGTTTCTCACGAGGGAAAAGACGCTCCTGCGAGGACGGTTGCTTCACGCAACATAAATTTTACGCGTGGAACCGTGGAACTCTCCGTCCGTTTCGCGTAGGCCCGTCTCTTCGCAGGTGTCCCTCGCGAAACTTTCGCACAAGTTGCACGCCGCGTATCGGCTCCGTGGGTCGTACGTTAATCTGCGACGCGATGGTAGGGTGGCGAAATTGAGTTAACATGCGAATTAATGTCCCTGTAATTATACCAAGTCGAACAAAAATTGGCCACTCCGCGATGCGTGTCGAATAAGCACGCACTCCTGCGCGAGAAAGTAATTCCTCAAACGGCCAGAGAAGAGGGCCGTTGTCGAAAAATGTCTATAAAGGTACTCTTATGATTATTTAGGGAAAAAATAGCTACTCTCGAAATTTTCCTTTTCGAGATATCAACAGCTTATAGTCTCGTCAGAAACCCTGGGTTTCTTATCAGCTTAAAGTTTAGGCGACTAATAGTGCCTTGAAATCAAGCAGCTCAAAAGCAGTGCAAGACAAAACCATAGATATTACAGAAGAAGAAGACCATTGGATGGCCGTATTGGAGCCGTGCTGGACCCAGATGCCATTAAAACAAGAAGAAGAAGAAAAAGTGACCGTGCGATAATCACATTGATTCGCAGGCCCTTTCAGTTTCCCTCAATATTAATTTGCTCGCCCGTCTCCTCGGAAAGACAAGGGAAAATTCATTCACCAATAGCACCGATCTCGAAAAGTGGTGAATTAGTGCGACTTGAGAGTAGAGTTTATGTAAATCCCTTTGTCCAATTGTCCCGTCTCGCTGTCACGCTCCGCGTAAAACCGCCGCGAACCGGAGCAAATCGACATGCATTATTTATCGTTGGGGGTGCTTCTATGGGAAACTCTCTCCCGGGGGTGGAAACGCCAATACAAGTTTTTGTGGGAATTTCTATATCCTACGCGTACCCACATACATTATCGAACTAACGACCAGCCATTAATTAAACCATTTCCGGGCCTAGTTCTCATAAAAATCGCAACTCAATTCCGTTCGCTTTCACGCGCGGTAACGAAATGCTTAACGTGTTACCATACAAAGACAGATTTGCAATGTAATGTTTTGCAATATTTCACACAAATGTGTGTACATAGATATTTAAAAACATTCAACACATAAGAGACATCTTCAAATCAAACAGAATTAATCATTAATGACGGATTTAACTAAGCTTAAAAAAGTTGGAGAAATTTAAATTGAATTTCTATTAAATTAAAAAAAAATTGACTGAAACACAATTAAACCATAAACTGTTCTATTATATTTATTATACTTTCGGCGGCGTTAAAAAATATTACGTGTGAAAACAAATTACGACGTAAGCCACTCGTCAGTCTAAGTTTATTTTGAACGCGTGCACAAGATCAATAATTACTTTAACTAAGTGTTACAGTCGGCATTGTTCGCGGAATATTCGCGACACGAATGAAGCAATCGAAATAACCAATTGTTTGTATTGTTGGTGCACCTTTCGCCGTGTATTGTGGGTAACCACTCGCACGTAAAGGTCCAAAGATTCAAGAAAGGGGTTGGCACAAACAACCCTTCGACACGGCAGATGGTCGATTGAACAAAATCGATCTCCGACTTGATCTATCGAAATCTCGACGTTGTGTCACCGCGGGGGCGCCCGGCTGCCTCTCGACGTTATTTTTAACAATTTCCACATGACGATCGACTGATAAACGCCGAAGGGTTTCGTAGCACAGCAGATGTTCTCTCTAACGCGTTTGCAATATTGCGCCTCGGTGTTTGCACCACCTCGTATATTTTCGTTAAATTAGACGGCTTGAATAGATCTTTAAAGCTTAATCACGATAGCGCGTCGGCCGAGCCTAGTCTAACCAGAAAAAGAGGAGAATTGCCCGATGATTTCGTTAGGCAAAGATCGCTTGATAAAGACCGAAGGGTTTCGTGACCGGGCAGATGCTCCGAAACGTCGTACATAGTTTTTTTTAACTTTTTTGAGTTTAGTACATCGTATCGACATCTACTGAATTTATGAGGAAAGATTGTTATCAAAAATATATTATCTAACGCACAAAAAACTACAATCCATAAAAATGTCGAATAATGGCACAGAGCATGTAGAAAAATTTTCAGACAGAAAATCTGCATTTAAAATATCAATTACAGGTTAAATAATTAATGAAATACATACCGTTTCAGATTTCTAACTTGGTCGTCTGCCTTATAGGACAATCTGCGGTGATAGAGCCAAAGCCAACGCGTAGTTTCAGCGCAGAAAATTGACGGACGAAAAAGCCGGGCGAAACCGCGAATTAGACAGCTGAAAGAATAATAGCATTGCGTTAGAAAGCGGAATCAACGATCGGTGCGGGCTTAATGCGTGATTAATGACCAGGGTGGGTCGCGCGACCACGTCGGACGCGATTTTTCGTTGCGACAATACTCGGCTGCCCTTTTCCACCATCACGTGCTGCATGTCGAGATAATAGTTGAAACCGCAACCACTCGCGAGTCAACGAAATTGGAAAAGGGGTGGCTCGCGCGGGAGGGTAAAAGGAGGCCGGGTTTGTTTCACCGGCATTTTCAATTGCAGCGCACACCGGCACGAGTCGCTAACAAAAGAGATAATAATATGGCGGAAACGAAAAACCGGACAATAATGTCCGGTAGTGCAAGCAATATACGACGGAAAGGGGTGCATTCGTGCGTGAACCGTTAATAGTTGCACCGCGCTCGTCACGCGCGTTCTTCGATTATGCACTAATAATATATGCGTAATGCCGTTGAAAAGTATGTCAATTTTTAATACTGAATGCACACAATTGTTACTCAGAAATTTTATTTTCGAACTGGTTTAACTCGTTAAATTCTAAGACCCCCCCCCCGCACTGTTCTGTTTTAAATCCTTATAATCCAATCAAAATTTTAAATTAATATTAATTAAATTTAAAAAACTTGCTTTTTCTGAAAATCCAATCGGCAATGGGATAGGATATCTAAAAAAACCGACGAAAAGATTAAAAGTGGAGGTAAAAAACTTTTTTGATCTCCCCTTTTAAACCTTATTCAGATATTCTACCCCCATAGACGACTATATTTTCGAAATGAGCAACAGGAACTCTTTTTACCTCTAAATGCCAATACGGTTAAAAAGTTTTGATTAGAACCCGCGTTACACAGATTTAAAACAAAAGAGCGTGTAAGGGTCTGTTAGGACTTAGGGCCAGTTTCACAAACGTCGGTTAACTGTTAACCAGAGTTCAGTCAACTTCCTATCCTTTTCTATTTTGTTATCTAAGAAGAGACAGAGAATCAATTAACCTTCGGTTAGCAGCTAACCGACGTTTGTGAAACTGGCCCTTAATGAATTAAATTTGTCAAGATAAAAATTGCGCCTTATAGACCAGAAGTTTAAAGACCTTAAAGAAAAGGACAAATTTTTTAAATAACTTCTCGTCCAGGCTTAATTACTAATAATTACGGTACTTGGAATACGAGATATCGATTGGTTAGCAGGAAACAGTGGGATTAATGATACCTTTATCGCACCGTCTGGCCAAAAATGAAATGATAAGATCAACAGAAGTGCAATATTGTCTGGAGTAGGGATTTTTATCGTCTATATTAACTCTTGTTGCGCGAACGTCCAGCTAATTCTGTCTTTCTATAAAGTAAACTGATATTCTCTTATGTGGCTATTGTATACGTGTTGTGTATAGTTACCATTTTTTAAGACTTTCTTTCGTATTCCACTTATCATTAAATGCTGTTATTGCAATTAATCGTAGCAGATACGTAAAATAGCGGAGCGGTGTGTTGATGAGATCCTAAGTCGAAAAATATTGGAATAAAATATGAAGCAAGTACCATATGTGACAGTATTGATCGGGATAGTGATTTTGTTAATTGGAATCGAGATTTTCTTAATCTACAGTTAGGTAACTCCATTCTATATTTGTAAAAATAATAATTTCTTTTTGACGGCCGATTTCACGATAATTGACGCCTTAATCTAAATCAGTTTTCTTTGAAAAAAAAATATTGAATTAGATCTAATATAATTGACAAGAAAAAGGTCCTCCATAAAAAAGCAAAAATCAAGTCAAATACTTTTCTATTCGGGTTGTACATACGTTGTTAAAAAAATTATATATCAAAGAGATGTCCCCACCAAAATATAAAATTTACTCTTTATTTTACATAAATTTTTTATGACCATTTCTATCGCAGTTAAATATTTTATTTCAGCAAATATCGATATATAAAATATCTGTTCTAATAGTGGCATGCACAACTTCGCAAACGGAATATACAACAGAAACCACGAGAGTGACAACAGAATCGAACACAACGGCAACGATAACAACGTCGCCTACGATACCGTGTGGAGCACATTGTGCATCGTATCCATCGTTACCCACGATAGCACCTTCGACTACAACGGATGCCGCAGAGACAACGGCAAACATAACAGAAACCGCACCGGACATTTCAACGCTTCCGACAACATCAACGACACTGACCAGTCCAACGACTGCATCCGATATCCCAAATACTACGATTCCATCCTCTACCCCGTCAATAGTTACAACAGAAATGATAAATACAACAACAACAGCTGCATATAAAACAACAGAAACATTGCCGACGTTTACTACGACGAGAACATCAACGACTTTTCCTCCTCCTCCAACAGTGTCACCTCCACCAATTATTCCAAGTACGAGGAATACGACAGATACAACAACAA